CATTTGGAAGGAGCATTAACTTTTCTTCTCTCTTTTTTTGTTCAGGATTGATATTGCCCAATGGAGATATCAACTGGAATTGCCCATGTCTGGGTGGAATGGCTAGTGGTCCCTGTGGGGAGCAGTTCAAGTCTGCCTTTTCTTGTTTCCACTACAGCACAGAAGAAATAAAAGGATCAGACTGTGTGGACCAATTCCGTGCCATGCAGGAATGCATGCAAAAATACCCAGATCTTTACCCTCAAGAGGATGAAAACGATGAGAAGTCCAGCAAAGATTTGGAAGCTGCCTCTATGGAGGCCTCTGCTGCCAAAGAGGAGAAGGGATCCAGCTAATGAAGATGGAAGGAGGCTGTCGTCTCCATTTCTCATTTTCAGAGGCATGGACTTTGCACTGTATCTGTCTTCTGAGTAGTGAGGAAATGTTTCACTGTGTTCTGTGCACTGTATCATAATAAATAATTTATTCCTGAAGGAGAAATCTCAGAGCTGCAGCCTTGCAAATAAATACTGCGAAAAGAGTGAGTGCGTGTGCATACTGTGTAAACTGCTTTGGGAGACACAGTTAAAACTTTAACAGCTGTTCTTTATTCTCAAGTTTTCCTTGAGTTTTGACTTGAATAATGTCTTGAAGTACATAGCTTTCAACTAAAATTCCACTGGCACACCAGGTCTGTCTTCATTTCAGTATATTCTGATCAGTAGCTGCTTTTTTTTTTTCATGTATTCTCTTCTATCAATAAAAATTGCATTAAATGATTCTTTTTCCTTAAGGATTTTTTTTTTTTTTCCAAAGTGATGCAAGACATTGAATATGGCCTAGATCAAGAATTTCTGAAATAATTTCAAATGGTCTTATTAGATTATGCTTGCATTTTATTACTGGCATCAGATCAGGATTGTTGGTAAAATGTTGAAATGCACATCTTCTTTGATTTCATTCATTTACTGCGTTGGCTTTTGCATTTTTAAAAATGGTGTGTTGTGCAACTGATGATTAAAAGGAATTAAGAGAATGTTGGTCACTAGCTTTATTTTTGCTCTGAAAACAGCTTTTGGGTTCCTTTTGTTATTACCTTCTTCAATGTGTAGATGGGCACTTGTAAAATACTTTGAGATACAATAAATTGTTACCTGGTGTAATGATCTCAAAACAGATACTGTGACTTAAGTGCATATTAAAAAGCAACTACTTTTTACCCTTACTGGAAGCTCCTGTGTCTTTGTGCTATGGTGGTTTTTTGTTAACTGATTGGATTTGAGAACTGTTCTGTGCTGTAAGTAGACCTTGAATTAATTTGTGGGTTGTGAAGATCAGTTACTCCAGCTTGTCAGATTTTTATTCTTGTCTTATTCTTTTCTCCCCAGCCCAGGCAGGAAGGCATAAAAAAACCTATAGCATTTTCAGTAGCTGTAGTAGACTGGATCATGAGCCAGCAAATAAACCTAAACAGCTATTAAAATATTTGAAAATTACTTAAGAAGTACAAAAAATTTAATTAGTTCACTATAGTTTAATAGCTGTAGATAAGGGAATACTACATTGTTTGTCTTTCCAAGCAAAAGAATGGCTGAGAGAATTTTTTTTTTTTACAAAAGAAATTGTGGCTGTGGCTTCAGTAACTTCATTACATGTCGGTTTGGGTTATTTTTTTCCTGTCCTTATGTGTTGCTTACCTTCAACTAAAGCATAAAAAATTGTGGTGTCCACAAAGTCCAGCAATGTTTAAACACGTGCCTTTCTCTGTGGGCAGCTCTCAGTGCTCAGCAGCATTCATTCCATATAGCACTTCAGTGTCTTGTTCTTGTTTGCATGAGTGAATTTGGTGCTACTGCTTTTACTGAGTGTTTGAGGGGAAGTTCTGTCAAGTTTTACAATGTGTTTGAGGTGTTTGTATTTCAGGATGGCTGCTGGATCCTCAGCAAGAATCTGTAGGCAGTTAAGTGGCTGATAACTACTCTGTTCTGAGGCCAGCGATAGCAGGGACTCTGGCATCGCTGCTTTTCAAAGAAACAAATTGACACAAAACTTCTCAGTGTGACTCTTTCAGGCATGGGAAGCCAAGTGCCAAGTTAACCTGAGTAAACGGGCACAAAAGCAGCAGAGATAAACTTTGGCACATAGGCAGTTGGGCCATGCAAATGAAATCTTAGGCAATACATGAACACTGGGCACCAGATTAAAAAAAAATCACATGCACCCAAGCTTCTGGTTGTTCAAATGGAAATCTAGTGCACTCTCTGTGAGGAAGCTTTGAAGGGGTGCTCTGTTCTAACCAGTTGCCTCTTTTCTTTTTTGCTGTGCTTTTCTTCCCCACATTGCTTTTGTGCTCTAACCAGTTAAGATTTATCCTCTGCAACTGTATTTGTAGCAATCTGTGTGCAAAAAACAAAATGTGAGAATCTTGGCCTACAGAAGGTAGAGAGACATGCACCTAATACTGACAGAGGGAGCATGGAGCATAATCTGACACGTTTGAAGGTGTGTTTAGGATGGGCTTGGTAACCTGTTGTGCTGCATCCAGTACAAATATGAAATATGTATAAGGATCTTACACCAGAAACTGTGAAAAGCACTGTGTAATGTGTTTGAAGTGTTTTGAGAAAGGAAGCAATAGTTTTAATCATAAATAGTTCTTTGTGGAATTTTTTTATTTTTTTGCTATGTAAACTCAGTTTTGAATGCATAGATAATGTAACTCCTTGTTTCTGTTTCCCAGCATTGCTTCATTTGTGTGATTTTCCTCCTATAGTTACATGGTACCATTTTTAAATCTAAAATCAACCAGTGGTTTTTAATATATAATAAAAATTATAAAATGATCCTTGGCAATATGTGACAAGCTTGTGAAATAAGCAGATGATAAGTTGCATTTTTATTGTGTGGATACAAAACTTACAGCTGCATATTTCTTGTTTTAATGTGTTTCTTATTTTATATATATATTTTATAAATAATGTCTTGGTTCTCTTCCTGCCATCACTGAGCTACTGGTTCTTGGACAGAGAGTAATAGATTCAAATGGGTTTGAGTAATTGTGTTGATAGAGTAATTTCATAATGATTTTATATTATCAGGTGGTTTTTTCAAGCCATGGGTGCTGCTGTGTCAAGTCACAAGCAGTCATTGGGGGATATAGAAAGCTTTCATTATGAAAGAATTGCTCTTTAATTTGTGCCTTTTGATTCTTGTCCTGTAAAAGCTGATGTGCTGAGTGTGATTAAATGTTTATAAAAGTTTAGCTAAAAGAAACTGTTAACCATGCATGAAGCACTTCTGGATGTTTTAGAATATGTTTCCAATACAAGTTACTTAGCCCAAACAGTTTCATGCAGATAGAATTCCAGTTGAATTTTTTCTGTTTAGTTTTTAGAATAAAAAGACATGTTTTTAATTGTATTCACCCTACAGACCTACCACTGCTCCCAAAATACTCCCTTGTAACATATTGCTGTGAATAATACTCCAGATTTTCAGTTTTAACCATACTTCAGTTTTTGCACACCCTTGTCCTTCTGGTGCAGTGGTGAAACAATCTCAGCTTTTGAAAGCTGTGTGGATTGTTATCAGCTGGCTGCAATTCCTGCATGATTCATATATAACTTGTTAGGATGGGATTGTTCCTGCAGTCAAACTGGAATCAGTGGTGCATGTATCACATATCCTGATGTAGGTAAAGATTGCCTCTAAAACTTGTCTCTTTTAGTTGATCCTTTAAAAAACTCATATATTCTAAAATGTAAAAAAGTTCTGAAAAATAGTTAAAATTAGACAAAACTGCATTTTCAGGATTAAAAGTTACTCAGTAGATTTTCTGCTGTTCTCTGCTGTACAGCCTGACGGCATTGCAGAGACCTGACTTCAGCCTGTGTGTAGTAACTTTCCTGGAGGTATGACCTTGCTTCAGGTGCAAAAATAAACTTTTTTTCTTCCTTCCTTCCTGCAAAAGGAAGGATGAACTAAATGATGGCTAGAAGGAGACGTTTATCTTGCAGGCCATTGTAGGGATCATTAGATCTGGGGATCTGGCAGGGCTGTTTTGGAAACAAGATCTATATCCCATGCAGTTCTGACTGAGGGTGTCCTTGTTAAACCTGACAGCGATGTCTCCTGTTTATCTGAGGCACTGATCTGATCACACGTCAATGAACCTACTTATTCCTAGGGAAATAAAAAAAGGAATTTGTATGCTTCAGACTCTTGTTTTACCTCATTAAAATTCTATCAGTGTTAGTGTGGGACAGTATAGAGAATACCATGCCTTCTGTGGTAGCTCTTTTAATTTACTATGTACGACCTGCTTGCTTCTTCTGACAAATGTGCAACAGCTTTTCCTAGGAGGTCAGTTGTCATCTTTTACTCTCATTTTCATTTCAAGTGCACTGCAGAAAAAAATAACTTTTTCCCTCTCAAAAGTCTCATGGTGATCAGTTTAGACTTTCCCATCATCACTAGCTGTTCTAATGTGATTTGTGCAATCCATTTCTATTTAGATTCTTATTTTCAGACAGGCTACCTGGATTATAGCACAGCAGACCAAAGACTGCACAGGATAGCTCTGTGTGAATTGAAACTCTATTCTTTCATTTTTCTTCTCTGTGAACTCAGAGATGCCTGTTTAGCAGAAATAGTGATACCAGTAAAAAAGTCAAATTGCAGTCAATTTTAGAGAAAGCTATGTGTATATATCAAATACTTTTGAGATACCTGAAATGTATGAAATATGTGATGTATTGATTGTTTGCATACCACTGTGTTCCATTTGGTAGTCATTAATCACTGTATTATCATAGGCCCCAAGAGAACACACCAGGGCATCAATACTCTTGTTCCAAGTTGTATTTCCACTAGCAGTAGCTAGTAATGCTAGTAAATGACTGTGTCAAAAATCAATTTTCATTCACAGAAGAGAACTATACAGATGTTTACCCTCCACACAAAATCACCAGTCTGGCACAAAAAGTGGAAGAGAGGTGTTTGCTTTAATACGGTGCTGACTATAAACCAACATGGAATATCCTCATTGTCATTAAATAAGATCCCCTACAGGTAAATTGGCCTCTGTTGAAAAGCACATTCCTTTGTTTAATTCTAAACCTACACTTGAATTTCATTCCTTGTGAGAGACCCTTTGAGATCAGACTGTAAATTCATATACAGGTTCTTTATTGAAATTTGAAAGAGAAGTAGTTAATCTTTTTGTTGTGAGGCAATTTCTGGAGTCAGTAAAGAAAGCAGTTGCTGGGCTCCTAGTTTCGTAAGGCTGCCATTTCAAATTCTGCCAAATGCCTTGGTTAAAAAATGTTTTATTGCATTAATTAAATAGCTTGTTGGAGATGCCACATTGTTGGATACCACTTTAGGTAACAACAAATAAATAATGAAGTGAGAGGGGGAAAGCAATGGAGGAAGGGAAATTTCCTGAAAAGGAGGGAGGAAGAAACACTAGAAACACTGTTTATATCCTGTTGGGAAACAAATCAGAGCTTTTTTTTTATTTGCCAAAGATCTGCCTGTCATCCATTTCCAAATGAGCTGAGGATTTTTCTGCTTCATTTGGTTGTGAGTCCTTAAACAGGGGACACAGGTCTCCAACTGCAATTTCCTCAAAATTCTGTGTTAGGGAAGAACTTAAGTAGCCTATCTCATGATTACTATAGGGTAAAATTGATTTAGAAAGAATGTTTTTGCAGAGCAGAACTAATTTTACCTGGAGTGCAAATGTTACTACTCCTGTACTTTTGCAGAGGGAGAAATAATCCTCAGGCACTATGGGAAAGAAGCAGAGCTTCAGCATCTTACCCCGAAGTGTGACCAAGAGAAATAAAGCACAATGAAAGCATCAAGTGCAATTGAAGGTCAGTGGTCTTGAGCACAGTTGGAACAGCCAGGTTGCTTCCCCAGAACTACAGCTTACCTCCTTTGATACATGCTCCAGCCAATAAATTTACCACCTGTTTCTGCTTTGTAGCTTTTGTATCATCACCATTTCAACATGAGAGCAGCTGCTCTTTCCTCACTTTGGCTTTTTCCTATAAATAAGGTTTATTTGCAGTTATTGCTGTGAAACCTTTGTGGTGTTACAGACTAAGTACTACAGCAAAGAGCTGCATTTGGAATGGAGTTTGAGCCAAGGTGTCTGCTGCAGCAGAGCTCAGCAGTAAGCATTGATGGTAGCAGTGCACATCTCTAAAGGACACTGTCCCAAGATAAGTCACGTTTGTTTCTGGTCAGCAGCGGGATAATATTCTCTTCTAGAAAGCAGCCCATTATATTGGCATAACTGCAGTCTGATGGTAAATCAGTTTGAGCTCTCTTATAGTCTTATTTAGTATTATGCCACTTGTAAAGCTGAAAGAAGTTGAGCTGAAAGAAGTTGCTGCCTTTTAGTGGTCACTTATAAAGAAAATTACACCCCAATAACGAATGTATTATGAAAGCAGTTTATGCATATTAATATCAGACTGATCTGAAGTATGGAAACACTAATCCATATCTTTAGTTTTGCCTTGTAAAATGATTCTGGGTGGAATCCGGCTCAAGTGTAGAACTGACTTGTGATCTATATATGATGCACTAGGTAATTTTGTATGATAATGCTGTGTATTTAAAAAAAAAAGTAGTCATGTCCCAAGTTTCCTGTCTAATCACATGAAAGGAGGGATGGCAAGTCTGTTTTCCTCATTTCATGGGAATGCATGAACTAACTACACCTTTCACTGCAGTGTTACTAAAAGGCAAAGTCCAGCACTGTAACTTCTGAAGCAGAAATTATTTGCATCCAGTTCGAAGAATATCTGATACTTGTTTTCCCAAATATGCCTTCCAGGGTTTCACCAGGCTGTTCATGTTCACAAGGAGTTTGCCAGTCCTAGAGTCCTCCTGGCCTGCTATAAGATAGTCAGTACCTAATTCAAAAGGAAAAAAAAAAAAGAAAAAGGGAAAGCCCTTAGTTAGAGAATAGAATAAGAAAGAACCAAACCAGAATTTCTCTGTTCAATATGGACCTGGTATACAGCAGCTTTGCCAATTTCATCCATTTTATGCATGCGCCATCACATGTGTATATGTCCATGTGCATACTATCACTGCTGCCTGGGCACACAGTGTGTGTTCACTGGTGTCAGGACTCTGTGCTCAGGGGTTACAGCTACAAATTGATTTCCTTCCAGAGGTTCTGCACACAGATCTGCTGGGATGTGGCAGCTGCTGCCTTTGCCCCCCTCCTGCCATTGCCACCCTCCTTGAGAACCATGAGCTGGAAAGCAAACATGCTTTGGTGGGGATGAATCAAAGGATGCTTCCCCAGGAAGGCTGATCACAGCTGATATTCCTAAGCACTGTTTACAGGGGTAGCAAAACCCCCAGTGAGCATTTTGTCCTTACCAGGATTGAGAATGGGACATGTACAGCCCCTGTTGGTCCAGGATTCTGGGTAAATGCTTCTGTTACTCCGAGCAATTTTCACTTTGCCTGATTTCAGGACCTTCTTCACTTTCACAACAACTTCTGCATGGGTCCCTTTGTCATGAGCAGATAGGATTCTTGCTTTTATTACTGCCAGAGAACATATCCAAATAGAGACCAACTGTGAATTTCTAAATGAATTTTGGTTAATGCTGCTAAAAGGTAGAATTTTAACACCTTGAAAGAAGACAGGGAAAAAACCCCAAAGTGCAGTTGTACAGAAAGTACAGTGCTTGTCCACTTCACTGATGGATCTTTTAAATAAATCTGGGGAAAAAACCTGGATTTTTCTTTTTAAGTAGTTAACTCATCCTTTCACCATGTTATTCAGCAACTGTATTTTAATGGGTTGATGTCAAACACTTTGAAATTCTAGGAAAGCACTTGCACATATACAAAAGGAAAGGTGAAAAACCCCAACCAGCAGCTACCAGTCTGATTTCAAGTGCACTGATTCTACACTTTTCATTTCCAGTTTGAAAACTTCAGTGTTTTGCTTTAAGTCTGGCCTCTCAAAAATTCTGTCCTGTGAGAAGGGACTGCCTACAGGAAGGAAGACAGGAATTTTCCCATCAGGCATGTCACATGACTAAAATTCCACGATTGCACAAAAACCAGAAGTACTTTTGTTTTGTGGTCCAACACCTGGTTGCCATGATAAATTTCTGTTCCTTTTAATTTAGTAGGATCCCATAGCTTTTTAGCATGACAGGCTCACGTTGACCAGCCCCTCAAGCGGGCTTTGTTGTTTCCTGGCACAAGCACATCAAACCTCTGGATCCCAGAGCTTTCCTTTCTTGCTTCATGTGATGGCATGAACCAGGTGTTCATAAACAAGTTTTAAATACATTCTTGGTAAATGAGCATGGCTATTGGAACCTACATAATGACTGCAAAAGCAATGACATTTCAGATGTGAGGTTTTTTATCATTTTTTTCTTGATGTAGAGGCCAATCATTCCACTGAGTATTACTCTAGCACCCCTCCTGCTGTAAAGAGGGAAATGAATTGATGGGAAGGAGACACCACAGAGTTTTGCACAAAAAATGCTTTTAAGTTCTGATCAGAAGTTGGACATGTCACTAGACAAAATTCAGAAGAAATTCTACCTCTCAGGACTTAACCAATCCTGTCATTTTTTCACAGCTATCAGTTAACAATATGCATTGTGGGAACATTGTGAAATGATCATAGCTTGGGGGCATGTTACCCACTTACCATAGGCATATTTCATTTGGCAGAAGTCACTGACACTTCCAAGCACCTTTTCTTTGCACACACACTTTTCTAGCAGGAAAACCCCAGAACACAAAAGGTTGGAGAAGAGCCAGGACATGAGAGAGGAAAGAAGAGCAAACAGTCGTCAGTTATAAAGTTAGATAGCTACAGTTCCCATAATCTATATGGACCTTAAGCATAAGTTGAAGAGTGATCTCAGTTATTTGCAAATGTGTTTCTTGTTATATGATAAAATAATTACTCTGAAATCTGATCAGTACTGTCAAGTAAAATGCAGCCCACATGAGGTCTGTTGTACAGTTAATAAACTGATCCTAATGAGATTTGTAAGAATCAGATCCAGCTGTAAATCATGTAAGTAATGAGACCTTTGTTTGATCCCATAACCTAAGAAATGCTGATCCTTCCTGGTATTAAGGCAATATCCGTCTCAGAAAGGTCAAGCTATGCAGTAAGTGGCACTGTTACCTCTGCCAAGCCACCAGTGATGGTAACTGCTGATCTTTACAGGGCAGGCAAAACTGAGAACTATTTAAACACTACAGACAAGCTGGAGATGAGTGGGGCAGACCCAGTCAGGGTGGAGGGCTGGAAGAACTGGCAACTAAATGTTCCCAAACTCTGGGCTGTACCTGGGTGCCTCAGTGCAGAGAATCCCTGCTCGTGGTCGTTCCATTTCCACTCCTCTTCGCTCTCGTTGGTTGGAGTTTGGATGAGGTGTGGGACTTGTCCCCCGATGGGGATGTTAAAGAGGGGCTCACTCTCATAGCTGGGGGACACATAAACCACAGCACTGAGTTAGGGCACCACAGGGGTGGGAAACAAACAAACAGCTGCCTTTGCCTGTACCCAGACTGATGAGCTTTCTTCAGACTGGGAGTGCAAATACGAACAAGACTTCATGGCAGATAGAGAGATCACGAGGTCTAGGCTTTTGTTTAGGCCTCCCACTGCTGACTTAGTGTTTTTTAAAGTGCCTATAAACTGGGTGGTTTTTGCTTACGTTTGTTTGTTTTTAGGGAATTATGTAACTTAATGACCACTTGTTGATGTCACCAGGATCTGAGGACAGCTTGCAGGAGTGCAACTGCTCAGCAAATCACAGGATTTTTGATTAATACCTGTCTGGGGTACAGATGCCTGGCCCTCTAGAAACAAACAGGAGACTGTAGTTCATTTTACCCTGGGCACAGATGAGAGGCAGGCTCTTCAGACTCCTCCATCTATTTCCAAAGCAAAGATGTGTTTAAAGACCATGCACATATTTCCAGGGGGTTTTGTAAATGCCTATTATTACTGCAAAGATTCATCTGTTCAAGATTGCCTTGGATAACGCAGTGGACTTAAAGGTATTAATGTAACCTAAGAAACCTTTTATGATTTACAACCACCTTTTCAAATGATTGTGCACTCCAATTTTTGTTAGTATTTGTTAGTGTTTGTTTCATTTCACAGAGTCCCATCTCAAAGTGAGCCTGGAGCAGGGGTTCTTTACCCATTGGAACAGGTCCCAGTGCGTGGGTCGCAGTCCCTGGCGCAGTCACAGGGCCGACAGCCGTCTTCCCCAAAGCCCCAGTAGCCCACGAGGCACCTGTCACAGTTGGGCCCCGCCACTCCTGGTTTGCAGTAGCAGAATCCTGTTCTGGGGTGGCATCTCCAGCTGCTGCTGAACGTGGCGTTGGCTGAACCCAAGGGCTGGCAGGCACAGGCTATGGACACACAGCAAGAGACAATTCAAATTATGTGCCATGGGGTCAGCTGGGGAAGTGACATTTTTGCAAGGCTGATAAACTCGTACCCTCTTCCTCATCCGGTTTTAAGCCAGGACCAGTAAACATTGCACTTCATTTGCATTTTTTTTTCCTTTTTAATTTGTTAGGCAAACCAAAACAAGTACAACTGAGCATTTGTACATGAAAGTCAGTTCTTCCCTACGATGGAAATCGTGATCCCACAGGGTTTTGAAATGATACCAGGAAGCCCTCTCTGTGTGTTTATTTTTAAAGGGCTTGAAGGTGATTCACTTCAAAAGTGTTTTGCAGAAAGTTTCACTTGCAAGGACAAGATAAAGTTTTATAGCTATTGCCTACATTGCCTTTCCTGTAAACACAGAAATTACAAAACTACTGTTTCCTCTGGGGTAGATGCAGCTTATACAGGTGGTTCAGATGACCTGAAACATATTTTCAAGTTCTGCCTCCAAAGAATGCACAAATTTCCTTCAGTTCCTTTCTACAGTGCTAAACATCACACCATGCAGTACTGTATGTGTTTAAAGAAGCTGAAGATCTTTTTTTGCAAATGCAAGAGCAGATTTTTTAAAGGAAGGCAAGCAGAATGAGAGAAGACCTCTAAACTTACTAGATATATTTTACATGTAGCTGAAGAAGAGCAAATAGGAGGAAAAAACCTCCAAATCTTTCAAATGCTGTTGCCAGTTTGACATCAGCCTAGCAACTCAAAGTAATTTGGCAGGAAAACAGCTATTTCTGTGGGCATCTCTTCCTGCACAGACAATAAATTGTCATAATCCCACACCACTGGTACATTCCTGATGTGACAACATCAGGGAGGGATACACATAGAGCTGCAAGCCAGCACGGTTGACTCCTCTCCATCAGGGCAGAACCTGGCTGGGATGGTTAAGCCTCATGTCAACAGCTCTGCAGAAGTAAAATACAAGCAGTAAACAAATCCATTCTGATGTTCAGACAAGTTTGATCAAAATGAGAACTGAGCTGAACTCCAGGACTTGATATTTCAGCTCTCTTTTGTATTAAGGAAGCAGCATGCCCTGCCTTTTACTTGTAGCAGACTGAAAAGGTCATGCATCACTACTTCATCCATCTGGAAGAGGGCAGAAATAAAAATCGTGTGGCTAAGGCCTGCTTTTACAGAGATTTTCAGTTAAATGTTGGACACCCAAGGTGTTTAGATAGCTTGGATCAGAGGCCAGCCTTTTTGGATGCTTATTTGAACCAAACATGATCTCCAAAACTTTTGAAGTTTGCCTGTCATTGTCTCAGATCAAACTACTTTTCTTCATGAGCTCACAGATAAGAGACCAAATGATCACTGATCCCACACAACGCTTTCCAAGGGGAAAGGGGCAAATATATGACTAAAGAGAGTTTAAAATGTAGCAGGGACAGATTCACTTTCATCTGCAACCTCCTATTTGAAACTCAGAAAAAGAGAAATGCCTTTTGAAAACAGTACAAGAAGAAGGGCGAACAATTTTGTTTAAAGGGCATTTCTCTTATGATCTGCTTACCGTATAGTTATTTTTTTTTCCCTTGCCCTGTGTTCTTTATGCCAATAATTTTAATAATATTATTATACTGCTGTGGATGGATCTGGGCCCGTTGTGCTCAGGGGACACTAGCACAACAGCCTAGGGACAGAAATGCCACGTGCTGTCATGGGCAATGTGCTGGGCACAATGGGCAGGCTGGCGGAGGGCAGCAGCCTCGCCTGCCTGCCACAAAGCAGCCTCGACTTTGGGAGCAAACCCAGGGCTTGTGCTGTCAGCTCTGGAGAGCAGGTGTAACACTGAAGTGCTCATTAGTCCTGACAGGTTCAAAGGCATGGTCTGATTTTTTTGCTGCTAAACTTGATTTCAGCCCCCACCCCATTTTTGCAGGGCTGACTACATCACCCTAAAAAAGAACCTCTTGGTTTGTCAGTCACTGAAAACAATGGATGTCATAGATTTGGAGATAAGGAGGGGAAACACCCTTCCTTTATTGCAGACAGGTTTGAGAGACAAAGAGTAAGAGTTTGTCAACATCAGGGTTATTCGAATCCAGTTTGTTTTCACTGTAATATTACTACATGTAGGATCTACCTGTGGAATTTTCACTTCAAACGCCTTAGATTTCTGCAACCTCTGGGTCTGTCTTTATCCCTCTTATTTCTAGTTTTCGGTTTTCATCAGTTAAGAGTCACTTAACAGATGGGTAACTCACATCATTAAACTACCTATCCCCAGCTGAGACTGGACTCTGATTCAGGAAGATGAGAACTTCTCCTATGCTATTCCTAAGGGAAAATATTACAGCACAGTGACTGACAGAAATGGTGAAAGCTGATGAGGAAGCAGAAAACAAAAGTGCCTTTTTTTTTTAATTATTTGGAGGCCACAGTTCAGTAAAAATAATGTTCCCAGATGAACAGTGGGACATATTCTCCAGTTAGAAACTGGGACAACTTCTGGTGGATGAGAAAGCAAGCTGAATCAATACATGTACAACACTTTCAGATGAGTTATACAAGTGGCTTGCAAACTCTTTACTCAGTCTGTGTTTATTTAGCATTTCAGCTTGGGTGGGTACATTGTTTGGCTTCCAGAGTATTACATCCAAAATCCCAGTTGTGCATCTAAGGTAACTCCTAAAATAAGAGCCCACATGTCACATGCTGAAGGGTCAGCTGTGGATGACTGAGTTTTTATCTGTTTAACAGTACCATAGGTTTACAAATAAATCTCACAATTAAAGAAACATAAAAACAAGTTTCCAAAACCTCACTATTTAACATTTTCCAGTTTTTGACAACCCTTTCCTGCTGCTTTTTGCTTCTTTTCTCTTGGCAAACATTCATTTTCTCTCAATCCACCTCCCTGTCTAACAAAACAGCAGCCGATGTGACAGTGGCCTTGTTTGTCAAAGGCATCATCAATTATGTTAGGGACGGTGTGCAGACAATTCTGGCTCAGAGCTGGGCGGTTTATTTTGGTTCTCCCCTTGACAGTAGTGCAGTGAAAAACATCATTTTACTTTAGAGTTGCCTATTGGTCACAGAGTATCATGAAGCATCCTCTTGCTTTTTAGTCTCACTCCCATACTAGGTTTTTGTGAGACACTACTGTAAAAGGGAGGAGACAAGAAATAATGAAAAATGAATAATTCATACTGCAATCCCCACTCAAGCTTGTCTGCCCTCAGCACAGCTGTCTTCCCCAAGTAATTAGACACAGATGTAAAATATAATATTGGTTCTAACAATACAGTCCCATCTTACAGCAAAATACCAGGTGCTCCACGCAAGTCAATAGCCTTTGAGGGATCTTGTATTAAACTTTTGTCTAATAATACTGCATAAGAGATAGCCAATCTGCTCACAGCTATTTGATATTAAAAAAAAACAAAACGAAAACCAGGCAAAATGAAAAATCAGTCTTTTAGTCTGAAATATATACACGTGCATCTTGGGAGCGTATGATCAAACCAGTGCGATTTTTAAAGCATGTCAGGTGTGGGGATTGACTCTGCCAATGATGTTTCTTAAATGAAGGAAATAAGATAGACAGCTCTGTGTGTGGTCAGGGCTGATTAAGACAGACTTTGAACCAAGATGTGATGGGGCCTTTGTGATATTAGAATTAAAGTTCACTCCCTCTGCTCAGAAGTAAAAGGATGAGAAGCAGAGCCTTTCAGACCATGTGTGTGTGCATGTGCATCTGGGCACATTTTAATTTTCCAGCCTCGTTCTTTGAGTAAAAAAGCTTGTTTTCCTGGAGACCCTTTTTAATGGGTCTACATGCCTGCATTATTTTTAAGCTAAGCAAAGGGTGAGTACAAAAGATGGTGCCATTTCAGAAGGATCCCTTAAGCCTTGGAATAAGCCACAGGAAAGAGCCAAGGATACAGCAGCTTTTCTAACCATTGGTTAGGAAACAATTAGGCTTTTGAGTCAAAGCTCCCATACAAGTCTATATACAAACTACTTAATCCTGTGTTGTCACCCCCAATAACAGGCAGGTGTGTGCCTTGCTCTGAGACTCTTTTCATGCCTTTTTTTCTTTTTAATATAGATCTAAGCAGTGTCAAAACAAGGCTCTGCCCATGACCCGGCTCTCATTCATCCCAGCTGGTAGGAACAGGAGAAGCAAAGGGATCAGAGGCAGGCTACCTCTGCAGACAAAAAGGAATAGCAGATTCACACTTCCATATCAAATTTCATCACTTTTTTTTTTTTTCTGAGGGAATGTCTTTGCAGTGTCAGACTGGAGGGTCAGCTAAGGGTGGTTTAGATAGTGCCAGGGGATCCAATTGTTATACAACTTTTTTTTTTTCCCGAGCAGATTAAGAGAGAATGCTATTCATTATTATGACTAATGCTTAAAGACTGTTTCTGGGCCTGAGCAGTGTCGTGTTAACCTTCTGGGAGCCTGAGGGGGATGTCACAGCTGAACCTAGACTTTGCTTTGGATGGCAGAGCACTCTTCAAGCGTGCTTTCTCAAAGGGATTAGCACAGCATTTCATTCAGCTTTTTCATCAGACTTCCTTTCCCAGCTCAGTATCTACTGTACACAAGGGTCAAGTATTCATCTCCCATTGAAGGTTTTTTTTTTCCTCTGAGCTCAAAATGGGAAGATGGGCACTAGGTTGCTCTCACCAAAACCATCCATTCAGTCTGCTGTTTGCAGTTTATTACTGCTTTTCAACACTTGCTCACTGGGAGTGTTTTTCATTCAGTGTTGTTAGTCTGGTACTGTTTGCATGAATTTCTCAAAGTGAGATGATGTCTTGGAACTGGTACACTTAAATCCTAAAAAGCATGCTAATCCAGGAGAGGCAGCTCTTCAATTTATAATCAGCAGGCTGAGGTATGACAAAAATGTGTCTGGAGGTCCCATTTTCTAATATATTGGCAAGGCTCAAAATAGAAACTTTCTTTGCTGAGTAACCAGAGTGGATTTTAGGGTCACACAACCTGAACAACTTGGACCAAACCAGATGAGGTTTACTGGCAATGCAAGTTTTCAACCTAAAGGATGCAGAAGAGGGTCTCTATCCTGCATGTCCTGCAGGAGGCTTTTCAGTTTAATGTTAGCTGATGATGGTCCTGGAAGAAAAAGCTTCCCTCTATCAAACTGAGTCTGTTCTAACCAAAGCCTGTCTCCATTGGTGTTTCTGGTTTTGCTGTCTCTGATAATAACCAAAGTAGTGAAGTGTTCCCTGAAAATTCTCTGCAGAGGTTCAGTGTAACATGAAGTACACACTTACTGCCTGCAAACCGCAGGGGGAAGGGTTTGGGGATCAGGACTTCCATCATACAAAGTACTGCCTAGTATGGTGATTTGTCAAATGTTATTGGGGGAATTCTCTTATTCTCTGCCTTAAATAAAAGGGAAAAGGCACAGATTAACCACCTCCTTCCCAGTTTTCTCTGAACTCTGCAGTTATATCCAGAGTACCTCCTATTCCCACAGAGGTACAAGCATCGTGCACACAGCTGCTGTAAAAGCCAAGTGGGCTGCATTGCCCTTTCCTTATATCTTGACATGGCAAGCATTCATGAATGTCTTTACACCCCTGGGAAAAGGTCCCATTGACTTGAATCATTCACAGATAGGGTCGTGTTTACCTTTGCTGCTGAATCAAACCCATTAAATTCATCTCAGCTAAGAGAAACTCTAGGCAGGATAGGGATCCAGAGCACCTCTTAAGGAAATAGATATGTTTAGAGGGCAATTCAGTCCACCTGTTTCAGGCATCTACCTCAGACTGCAATAAATAATTCCCCAGAGGTCCCTCTGTTTCTCCACTGACAGAACAAGGAGCCTAGGAAAGACATATAACTTTCAGTGACTAAAGCAGGATGGCAGCTCTCTAGGCCTGAGCATGCAACTCAGAGTGGAGACAATTGCATTTGAGGGCCTTCTGCTGGCATCAGCACCTTCCCAGGTGAAAAGAACATTGTTGTGCCTGACTGGCACAACAGGAATAAAGCTCTTTCAACAAGGTAAATTTCTGAAGAGTTTTTCTTTTGCTATGCTGAATATTGGCAGGGGTTACTGAAAGACTTGTAACCAGACCAGACAAGAGAGGCAGACGTAGAGTCAAGGTCTGATTTCATCTAGGCAAGCAGTTCTAGGGTTTCCAGACAGATAGGCTGTATTTCCAAACAATGTTTTTTCCTCTTTGCTGCTTGCCAATGCTCCTTGACTTCAGCAGTTATCTAGTATTACACATGATGCTGGTTACTGCACCATCTCCCTGCTGCTCAGTGCAAGAGTTCATACACAGATTCTTTCAGGTGCTATAAGATTGAAAGCTAATCTTCTGGCACAACAATTTGTTCTCATTACAATATTTCCCTGTAGCAAATCTGCTCAGAGTAGAAACAGAAAGGGGCCACTATGGAACACTACAGGATACGGGGTGAGCCAGATACACTCACCCTCTGCCCCGTCTGCTGATCCATGTTCTATGATGAACATTATGAAAATGAGAAAAAAAGTTGTGTGGAAACAGTCTGCTGTCACCAAGTTCCAGTGGTAAGAAGGCAAAAGAGCAGAAACATTGGATGTGTTTGGCACAGAAGGTTTAAGCAATGTCACAGGACTCACAGACCTAGGGAGAGGAGTAACCTGAGTGTTTAGGAGGAGTCATGTTGAAGAACATTAAAAGGGTCAGAAAAGCTTCAAGACTCATTATGTCAGTGGCCAAGAGGTCAGATAACAGAGGATGAAGTTCTCTATGGTGATGTCTGAGCTATGGGGAAGGAAAATTATCCAAAAGGAAAAATGAAATTAGGTATATTGCTGGAAATAGCAACCTCTCAAACAGATGTGAGATAGAATCAGATATGTGAAGCCTGGCACGATACTCAGGAAATGTTTACTTTAAGTGAGGGAGATTTGGGCTGTTTGCCAGAGTGGCTGGGTGCAAGCTGTCTTGATCCAGAGGCTGTACATCCTCTGTGCAGCCTTTAGTGCCTCTGTGCCCGAGACACACCCTAACACATTCTGCTGAAGTGCTAGTGATGCAATTTATTTGGGCACAGCACCCCATAACACAGCTGTAGAGTCCCAAGATAAGTCTGAATTCTGATGTATTTGTTCCCAAGTGAATACACACAGCCCTCCTCTACCTTCTGCATCCTTTATATGTATTTACGTGCACATAAATACTTTATATGTGTACATGTTGCACAACCAAATGGAATTTAACAATAGCTTGCACATAGGCTCACACAGCCTTGAGAGGTACAGAAAAAACCCCAGGTAAATAAAATGTGCCTCAAGAGAAAAGGAACCATATTAATTTAAAACCAAACATAAGAAGAACGTACCTTTCCTTGGGAAGCAATGCATTTGGAGTTATCACAAAAAACATTGTAATGGGAAAAATAGACACAAAAAATCAGGATGATTACCTTTGATCAAAACCCCCTGTCGTTTAGGAAAAGGATAGAAAGAAAAGATAGTAATACTCATGAGTTACCTCTATAGGAGTTACTGATTGGATAGAAATTATTTTGTTCTTTCAGTGAATCTTTCACCATTCATTTTTCACCTCATGTAACACGATCACTTACGTTTGCAGACCTCTGGAGAAGACATGGGCTTCCCTCTGTCCCGGTAAAAGCCTGGTTTGCACCTCTGGCACCGATGTCCCTCTGTGTTGTGCTTGCAGTTGTCACAGACTCCCCCACTGCGCTTCCCCGAGGCCAACCAAACGCTCAGGTCGAAGTGGCAGCTCTCGGTGTGGTTGTGACAGCGACACTCTGGTGAGGACAAGAGAATGTCCTTCAGGCCTTTAAACTGACACAGTAACCATGGTATCATTTTCAAAGCAAGCTGGCAGGAACGTGAGGGGGTGTAGCTACATGAAAACCCAATTTCTGGCTTGTAAATTCCCCTCCCCAATAGCCCCAGTGCAGAAAAACGAGCTGCACACTGAAGTTCTCCGTCAATGACCAGCAATTTATCCCCAGTTTCTGTAATGGCACCATTACTGTAAATCACAGAAGTCTTTGTGGGGGAGCTTTGCCTGAGAGCCTGGGTCAGTAAACTCCCTTCCACTTACTTCTGCATTCATTTGGTGCCCCTGTTTTCCCGTCTCCTGGCTTCCAAGGCTGGTCATTGTAGAGCGGAGCGCATTTCTCGCAGTGGTGCCCTGCCGTGTTGTGTCTGCACACACACTTCCCATGGACCTGTCGGGGAAAAGGGATACAGTCAGACAGCTGCAGGAACTGGTGCAGCCCCCAGCAGCCTCATAAGGTGGTGGGACCTCTGCACAATTCCCACACAGCTGCCTGGCACTCTCAGGAAACCCACAGAGCCTGGAGTTAAAACATGTAGCCCTCTCTTTTCACAGTTATTAATGATGTAGAATTTTCCCAACACCTTATAAAATGCACGTAGCAACAATTTAACTCTCAGCTGGCTATTTAACTACTGCATTGATGAACAGCTCTCTAAACTGGGTGAGCTAACAGGTCTTATTTTGATTTACAGGTTCAGGGCAAGAACATGCAAAGAGTATCAAATGTACTCTGGGCTAGCAGAGCCAAGTCACAGGAGAGCACAGGCTAACAGAGGATGATGGGCTCTCTCTTACTTGACATTAGCACTGATCTGGAAAAGGGTGTAAATATAGGGAAGTGAAATCACCATGAATTACTAAATTATAAAGTGTTAGATGAATGAGCAAATAGTCCTGGACATCCTAGGACAGTTAAAAATATAGCAAAAATATTACAAATGGAAAAATACCAGTACCGCCACAGAAAAGTAACCTAAAACCACACATTCTATAAGGAAGGCACTGATCTTTTAACTTAGGTACAATAGGCACCAGCCTGCCAACTTACATATGACAATATATAAATTGGATTAGTAGAAAAGGCCTAGTAAAATTCTGGGCTATGGAACTAAGAGCACTGTAACTCCAAGGGGACAGAAAATTGTACCTGCAATGCTGTGTTCAGTTTTGAACATCTCATTACCAGATAAATTAAGAATTGTAAGATGTTCAACAGAAATGAGCAAAAGCTGGCTGAAGAATGGGGCTGAAGTAAATAAACCCATCTAAGCTGGAAAACAATACATAATATTTGATGGGCAAATAAACTGCACAAAGTCTTGACTAAGACTGGCTGAGTAGTTCTCTCTGTGAAAAATTACTTGAATAAAGAACTTCCTTCCTTTGTATATACCTGCCTTCACTGGAACACAATAATAATTTTTAGTCATGGAACTATTCAAATGTATATCAGATTTGGAAGCAGGTGTTCACACCAGAAGTCAGACCATGCAAAGTGAGCTAGTCCAGACTTCAAAGAGAAAGTTACCATTGAAACTACTTCTGCTTTCAAGCCATTTTACAGACCAGGAGTAAAGCAGCCACTTCCACAATAAACTATGATTTGGTGTGTGAGATTCTGTAATATCAACCCGCATCTAAGAATGGCCTTATGGAAGCGTTTTTATGTTGTTGCTTGGTTCTGTTTGTTTGATTTTTTGGTTTTTTGGGGTTTTGGGTTGGCTTTTTTAATAAATAAATTGTATTCCAATATCTGTTTGCAACACCACGGGGAAATGATTTCACAGATAAATTTTTTTGAGGAAATATCAAGCACAGGGTGTGTGAGAAAGGGAAGGGTGGTACCATAAGTCATGTTCTGCATTTATCACAAGAGTTGCTGCTATTATGCCAGGAGAAACTTGTACTGGAGCAGGAAATGCACAGAAATCAGGGATTAGACCCCTGTCGCTCCCTGGGCTGTTGAGTACCCTGAGTTCAGCACAGCTCTGCCCCACTGCTCATAACAAAAAAGAACAGGCTGAAATTTCATTTTGACTGGGGTGTGAATTGACTTTAATCCTTTAATCTCACCATTAACATAAATTTCCTTTTTCCATAGTCTTCCCTGAAAGTCAGGCTCTCCCTGCAGCTCCCCTTTTCCATCTGACAAAGCAGGTAGCTCAACATCTGGAGAGACTTTGCATCCAAAAGAGCAGCAGTGTGGATGTGCTCCCCTGCCCCCAAACTCATGTGCCTGCAGCAATTTGCTCACTGCTGTCCTGGTTTCTAATCCTCCTCGAGCAGAAATGTGATGTAGCAGCAGCAGCTGCAGCTGATGCCATCGGGGGCCAGCTGGCAGGGTGGGGCAGGGAGGGGCAGGGAGGGGCAGGGTGGGGCAGGGTGGGG